AAAAAAAAAAAAAAAAAAGCAGATCTTAATTTTTTTGTTTTGTTACAAAAATGATACACATAAATTATAAAATCATCAAATACCAAAATGGTTTTCCAATCCCATTCCACTGAAGTAGAATCATTAACAATTTGGTGTTTCTTTCCAGGCATTTTTGTGAATATAAATGTACATGTGTTATTTTTTAAGACATGCTTTTAGAAAATCGCTTTGTTTAATATCATGGAAATCTTTTCAATTCTCAGGACTGTAAGACATTTCAGCTGTAGAACATTTTTTGTAACAAAAAATGCTACAATGAATATCCTTGTACACCAAAAGAAACATGATTTTATACTTCTACCTCCATGGAGAATATACAAAATTCCATATGGGTGGGGGGGGAAGCTAAAAATGTTATACTATGTTACAATTTTTTCTTTATATTTACTGAGTTCATTGGATAGTCAGTAGACCACTTAGCTACTATAGAATCACAATAATGAATAACTTTTTTTTTTGGCTCATTATTCTAATCTATACAATAATTAAAATGAACAACGCATTCCTTTTATTCAGGAAAATTCACTCAACCAGAATCTACTAGATTATTGCATCTTTTGTTTTCTATTTTCTGTTCTCACTGATATAACATGTAAAATTATTTGTACTTCAAAACTGAAATTTGAGGTAAAAATATTTTGCATTAATGACTTCCCTAATTTCCAAAGTACTTTCATTACCTCATTTCCTCTTCATACTGTGAAGTAGCTTTATTCTCTCTTCTCTCAATATTCAATTTATAGAACAGAGCATATTCTTACAGAAGGATATATTATTGCATAATTCAGAATGGTTTTTAAAAAATTATTTAGCTTTAGAAGATAGTTTTGTGATTTTATTTGAATAGGGGTGTATCTGATATCCAGGGAATTTCCTTCGAGCAAAATAATGAAGCAATGAGGCCATAATATTAAAATCTAATTTAAGAATGACCTTCCTGTTTTCACATCTGGAAGCCTGTTGAGTCTTCCCTGAAATTCAACCCATTTCAGAGACTGAAGTAAGGTCTGCTCTGGAAAAGAGGAATGTTCTGGTTTCAAAGGCAGTTACTGCCTAAAAGTAAACAGGGGGATTTGAGATACCAACAAGGTAGGATTGAGCTCATACTCACTGTAGTTGAATAGGTTCTACCCATGCATTTGAAAATAAGATTAGCCACAGATAAACCAAAATTAAATATTACAGAGTTGACTCTATATTTTCTTGCAGTTATTTATATACTGCTTTGTAACAAGTCTATTCCTCCAATTGAACTATAAATACATTAAAGGCAAATATTCATTTCTAACCTTTTAAGGTCAATTAGGACACCTTTGTGTCTTAGGTCACAAAGAAGTCTTGGGGAAAAAAAAAGATATGCTTTGACTTCAATTTAAGACTATTAGAATTTAACATTTTAAAAGCTTAAAAATCCTTCACTGGATTATTTAAAAAGAAGGTCCTTTTGGCTAACGAAAACCCTACCATATAATGAAGTAAAACTAGTAAAATCAGAGAATAAAATTAGCAATGCTGTTGACCCAATACCTTTCCATCAATGGGAACACCCAATTCCTCTGAAAACAGGGGGTGAGTTATCCATTTGTAGGCTTCTTTTAGCTGAACTATATCATCTCTTCCCAGCGACAGACTCTGCTTTCTGAATAACATAAAAATTAATTCACTGACATGAAAAACTTTACTTTTTCTATTAAAGGCAAGAATTTATGCAATTATTTTTAAAATACTGATTGAGTGCCTAGCATGTACCAGGCACTATTCTACACATTAAATAGAAAGCAGAGAACCAAACAGACAAAAATTCCTCACTTTGTGAACCTTATACTCTACCGGAATCATGGAACTACTTTTTTAATGGCATATAACACAATGTTTAAAGCTTCAAAGTCAAAAGCACACTAATGGGTTTTTCTGAGCTACAATTGCCAGATTCCAGGATGTATACATCAGAAAACAGTAAGATGGGATAGAGATGATTGTTTATTGCTCACAAACTGTAAAACTGTGTAGTACAATAATCACATCCACATTTAAAATGCTTATTTTTCCCCTCTTGTTGAAAATGGGGCTTACTTTTGGGAAATCAACATAAAAGTTGTACTTTTTAAAAAACTTTACTGCTGAAGAAGAAATATTAAACTCTAAAGTATGAATGTTCTGAAATGCTCATCAATGTATTATCAGATAAATAGCTGAATAAAATTTGACATTCCCCCAAAATATACTCATGAGACAATAAATAGGTTTGGGGAAGTCCCTTTTATAAATTCTAGCTTTAGTTTCTAAACTAAAATTGTGATAGAAAGGAACTTGAGGTAAAAGGGATGAAAAACACGGCGTGGTATTATTAAAACCACTCCACTCTGCTGAGAACACTGGATATCACTAACAAACTAACAAGCCCACATCATTCAAATAATTAAAACTTCATACCAGCCTTGTGGCTATTTATAGGGCTGCTTTTAATAAAAGAGATGTAAGGACCAACTTATGCAACATCCCTTTTAATGCCCGATTTTCACTGATAGAAATTATTCCTTGTAGGCAATATCCATTGTAATGTAATTCACTGTAATTTAAGACCAAAAGATACTACTAACTACAGGTTAAAAAAAAAAAAAAAAAGTAGTTAAGCTAATGGCTGAATTTCGTTGATAAGAAAAAGAAAAAGAATATGAAGACCACCGTTCCTCTAAAAATGCAAAATAAGAAATAGTTGATCCAAAAAAATAAAATAAATAGTTGATCTATCCATTCTCTATTCAGCTGAGAATATAACTGGTTACAGAGAGTGCTTTCATATGCTTTGGAATTGTGATTTAACAATGAAATAGCCAGAAAAACTCTACATCTGACAAATAATCAAATTATTTCTCTACATTCAAGAACTTATTAAAATACTAAGTGTTTTAGCTTCATAAAGTGTTCATAATTCTCTGAATATCAGAAACATTTTAGGTATTTTTAAAGACTATCCTGATATTGTGTCAACAATCCAACTATTTAACAATATTTGCACAAAATATTATCACAGTTGAAAGTAAATAATATATGAAAATACATTTTAAAGAATAAAAAGCTGAAATAGAAAACACAAGAACGGAAGCTATTTTTAAAATTGTTTACATTTCTGGAAAGTCCAAAGGGTTGTTACAAAAGCCAATCCCAAAAGTGAGTTAAAACATTACTCATTATGTATTTAAGAAAACTGGTGTTTTAAATCCTTCACAGTCTTTGACATATATTTAGTGCATTTTAGTCTAGTTTAAAAACTTCAACTATAGGTACTTTTTCTCTCCAGATTATAGAGCCAGAGGAAAGGGTTAATGGACAGCTTGGAAATCCTTATATACAAGGTAAATATAATACTTAAAATGTCAGATTTCCAATCCTGAAAGTTAAATGTGGCTAATAACTTTCCTAATACAATTTGGGGTAAATATTTTCACAGAAGTCCCTAGCATATACCTGATTGTCCTTTAGAGGGACTAGTACTCTTTAAGGTAAATTCAGTCCCCATTTCATACTTAGTAACTACATTTCTCTTTCTCTTCTCTGCCGGATAAGTACTTATGAGAATGCCAATTGCAATCACTTTTGCTGTAGATACAATACAACAACCCTTCTAGAGAAAAGATGAACCAGCATATGCAATGCAATTAATTTTTTTTTTTTGTAAATTCTCTAAAGCAATTTATCCACAAGCTTTTCAACCCAGGATGAACTAGGGACACTGAAGAAAAAACCAATGACCTTTATCTTTTTCTGTTCCATTATCCCTGTATCAATCAGAATCTTTTAGAAGAACTAAACTTAGTTTAAAATCCTTTGATAAGAAATAATAACAGGCCAAGCGTGGTGGCTCATGCCTGTAATCCCAGCACTTTGGGAAACTGAGGCAGATGATCACCTGAGGTCAGGAGTTCGAGACCAGCCTGGCCAACATGGTAAACCCTGTCTCTACTAAAAACACAAAAAAAATTAGCTAGGCATGATGGCACGCATCTGTAGTCCCAGCTACTTGGGAGGCTGAGGCAGGAGAATCACTTGAACCTAGGAGGTGGAGGTTGCAGT